TCTATAGAGGACACTCTCCAATTTACAATAGAATAGTTCTCTAACACCATACCATTTTACCATCCAATTTAAAAAAGAAAAGCACCACTGAAATAAACTTTGTCAAAATGTTCCATTTGTCCCCTGGATGTCTGCCTTGATTCTATTGAAGATCCTGGCTGGAAATGATTGATTGTGAAGCAGTGCAAACCTCGAGGTTTGCTCAGAAAAGCCTGTATATGCATGGGAAGCACATGACAAGCAGTCAGGCCAAGCCCATCCTTGGTCTGCATGATAAAGTTGCCTTTCAGATGGTAAGTGGGGCAGAGCTGATGATGTTACGTTTTCAGTTTTAGAGGAAGCAGCATAATAAATCAGTGCATCTAAAAATACAGTCTTAGGGAGATTTCTCATTCTCGAAGATTTCTTCACTGTAACATGAATCAATTTGTTAATGATTTAAAAAACCCAGATGTTTCCTTCTCTATTCTCACTTTCTCCAAAGTATCAGGTGAACTTGGTCAGTTATTAAGCCCTCTATACCACCCTTTCCTCAACTGAAAAAAAAAAAAAAAAGTCATTTCTCAACCTATCCCATAATTTTGCTGTCAGGAATAATATACACAATAATTCTGTATTTTATCTATACAAGGTGTATTAGTTGTGCTTAACAGGTAATCATAGATCCTTAGGAGTTGTCAGGCACATTCATTTCTCTTAATCAATGCACAAATATTCTCTATAATAGTTCTGACATATGGTCACTTAGATTTTATTTGAATGTTTTCAGGAATGGAAGTTTATTGTGGTTCAAAGCAACCCATTGCATTATTGAACAGTTCTAATGTTAAATTTTTCCCCTTATGCTGACTTGAAGTTTTCCTCTTATAAATTCTACCCATTTGTCTTATTTATGTTCTCTATATCAATATAAGGAGCTCTGGTGCCACAGTGGTTCAGTGCTTGGCTGCTAACCGAAAGGTTGGCAGTTAGAATCCACCAGCTGGAGAAAGATGTGGCAGTCTGCTTCTGTAAAGTTTTATAGTCTTGGAAACCCTATGGGGCAGTTCTACTCTGTCCTATAGGGTCACTATGAGTCAGAATCGACTCGATGGCAATGGGTTTTATATCAATATAGAACAAATTTACTTTTTTCATTCTCATGATAGCAATTCATGTTTGAGGGCCGTTCCATGCTTCCCTTAAGTCCTTCCTTTTGTAGTGAAAATACATCCCTTTATTCTTAAACTGTTTCTCAAATGATTTTCTCTGAAGAACCTGGCAGTCATCAGTTTTCCTTTGAATGTGGAGTGCAAAACTAAAACCTCCACTTTCAAAGTAACCTGGCTGGTACAGAAGTCAGAAGTAATATCCCATCCCTTGTTCTGTGACCATGTATTTATCTTAATACAGTTGAAGATTACCAACTTTAGAATTATAGTTTCCACCTCTGGTAATAGCAAAGTAGTTCCTATCAGACCAACCCTTCTGCAAATAACAACTATGAAGTCTAGATAAATATCCAAAACCACTAACTGAAGGCACTAGTGAATGACTAAAAGTAGGCAGAAGCTGTAAGGAAATTGAAACTTAGAAGATTGGAGGGCAATGGGTAAGATTCATGTTTGTTTGTTTTATATGTTTGCTTTTAGGTTTTTGCCTAAACGTAGGTCCCAGTTGACACCATGCTGACTGACTGAAACTAGGAGAGAAATCTGCAATCTTACTGGCTTGATGAACCAGAGAAAAGTGTTAAGGGCCACCACAGCAGCTGGAAAGTTAGGGGAGAAATTCTGGAAAGAAGAGAACTATAGAGGCAGAGCGCCAAATTCTGCAAATATGTTCTGTTCAAATCTCTGGCTAACCCCCGAATTATGTACATGTGGAGCAGACTCCAAGGCATCCAAAACCAAAGCCAAACCCACTGCCACTGAGTTGAATTCCAGCTCATAGTGACCAAGGAGTTCAGCTAAAGCTAAAAGAACTGAACAGAGAGTTCAGCTGCTGCCTACTCTAGGGAGCATTATCAGAGAGTTTGGAGTTTAAGTTAGCTGACTAGCTGCCTGCTGAAACAAAATAATCAATATTCTTCAGAGGAATATGAAGTAATCCAGAGTCTCTACAACATGTAATTTACAATGTCCATGATGCAATCCAAAATTACTAGACAAAGGAACAGAAAAATGAGATCCATATGAAAGAAGAAATTCAATCAATAAAGACCAACCACAAAATGACCCAGATGTTGGAATTAACAGACAAAGATTTTAAAGTAGGTGTTTTAACTATGCTGAAGGACATAAAGGTAAATGAAAATAGACTTACGTGATCAATATTCTTAACGCATTGCTATACTACTAGGAATAAACCCTTATTTGTATTATCAAATATCCTACATTTTCTCACTTAGTTGTAAGTATATCATGACAAGCTTCATCCTATGTAGATTAAGCATTATCCTTATCAAAATCAAAATGTTAAAATAATAAAGCTAGGGTGAGCCATGGCTAGCTTTGGTAAGGACAATATAAATCAACAGTAAGAACAATTAGGAATGTAGTGAATTCTAGAATCTCAACTACAGGATTTCTTCCCAGAGAATGAAGGTACATGGGAACTTGACTGTGACCACCACAGGTATTTACTTGAAAAGACACATCTGGGGAACAAGATCACAATTCAGAAAGATCACCGCTAGTGTTTCTGTGTTCATTAATGTGGTGCATATGTATGTGTGCCTGGTTGGTGGACATCTTACCATGCAAACAGTCAAAACAAACAAAGATAATTATCAGCAGAGGATGAGAAGTAGAAGATGCAGAAACAAAGGTTTTATTTTGCCATGCAATAACATAAAAAGCATAGTCACACAATGCAGTTGAAAACATAGAAGAAAAAAGAGAAAAGGGACAGTATTTTTTTAAGTCAGATATCTCATGACAATAAGACATTTGGAAAACAGAAAAGCAGTTTACAATTTCAGTGACAAAAGAGGTATCAGAAGTGTACACAGAGATTGCGAGTAAATCTTTCTTAATTATATTTTATAGAGAACATACTACATTTGGAATGCCCTGTAAGTATATAATTATAGATATGTCTAGAAGGGAGTAAATGTGAGCACTGTGCAGCTGTATTTGGCTATAATCTGTTTAATGCATACTTAAAGTACCTGTAAATGTAAGTGTTATGGGAATATTTTCCCTTAGTCTCTGGTCACAAAATCTAACTTTGGATCAGATCATTGGAAACAGTGGAAGATACATGTTGTCTTGGATGTGAGAGAAATGGGCAAGTACAAAACAAAGTCTTCAAAATTAGTTGCTCACCAGTTTGAAATGACTGCCTGTACACCATAGGATATTAATTTGTTACATGAAATATTTTATTACTATTTAAAAATAAATTGATTATATTTTCCTTTGCTTTTATAATATATAGTTTTGTTCTTCCATTTGTTTTCAATGGCAAATTTAGGTTGACTTTGGTCATTTTTATAGAAAAATCATTTTCTCAAAACAATCAGGACTAAATGAGTATTGGTTATTACCCAATGGATATATTATCTTCACATTTTCAAACCAGGGAAGTTCCTAAAGACATAGACACATGTACAAATGATATTTGGTATACCATTCCTATTTTAATGTCTTTCTAAATTAATTCAGAAGATCAAACTATTTTCCTTTTAAATGCACACAAATAATGTCTCCTTTGGAAGGGTACACCCCCTCAAAGATATATAGCATAAGTAACATTCCAGTGGAAGTAATAAAATTATTATTTTTTCCCAATTATTATTTTGTATACTCTACTAAAGAGAAGTAGGAATTTATCAATGTTTGTATAACTTATTAATTTACTTTGTAGATTCATCATTTATTAGAAAATTGAAATGCCACAAATACATTTTGATTATGATACTATGTTTTTATAATTTTTTCACAAAGATAGTTGAAGAGGATAAATTTACTTGCAAATTTTATAAAAACATGCTTCTAAGATAATTAAAGTTTTATAATATATACTTTTTGACGTATGCATATGTTACAATATTTATTTTCTATTAAATAATCATTGAAAAGCAACTGAAATTAGTCCACATTGATAGAAAAGTCAACAAATTCATACATTTATAAGTGATCAGAAAAAAATTATTCTATTTGTGTGGAAGACAGAAAGAAGTATTGCAGGAAAAAGAAATAAAGAAAGGATTTATCTTTTTGTTGTAGGAGAGAAATTTTTATGGAATCAGAACTGTACTGGGGAGGTATAATTTTGAGTACTGATACCAATTATATCAGATAATTCTCTTACTACATTTTTAGGGACTTCATATGATTTCCTGCTTTCTGTTTATATATTTATCACATATCAGAGAATTGGTAACACTTCATTTGAGTAGATTTTTATAAAAGTATAGATGGATATAAAAACAGTTTAATAGGTGGATATAAAAACAGTTTAATCACTAATTTTCAAATTGTTAAGTCATGAATAATATATGAGAACAGAAGAACATAAAACGCAATAGAATTAGAATGAATGAAGGCAGCTTACAATGTAAAGTAAGTACAAAATGGAATTCGGGAGAAAATAGTTTCTTATTGCTGTGATCACTTAAATATGGAAGCTCTTGGAATGATAATGTACTTGCACTAAATACACTTAATGATGACATATTTCTGGTTATATTAAGAACATTTTTTTCACACTTAAGGCCCAAATAGGAAAATATATATACATGAAGTACTTGTGATATGCTTAAATAGTTCTTAAATTTATTTATTTTAATTCTCAAGATGGTTTTTATTTTCTTTTTTAGAGATCTAAAATGAGTCATGGCATTTCTTGAATTTCAATGGCTTTTAAATTTGGGAATGTTCAAATGTATGTTAATAATCTTCCTGTTCACCCCACTCAACAACTGGCTCATCATTCATGCGCAGAATGAGGTAAGAAAGAAGCTGAAAAAGATTCTGCCAGAATAAGAGAGAGACATAAAAGGTGAGGCCACTTACATCTACCTCACAGCGCTCTCCAGCAAAGGCGACATCACAGAGGCACTGGAATTTGTTGAGTAAGTCCTGGCACCGGCCTCCGTGGAAGCATGGATCAGAGGCACACTCATCAATGTCCTTTTCACACCTTGAAAATAAACAGAAACAGCAGAAACCCAGCACCCTGTTGAACAAATTGGCTGTGAAATGGGGAGAGAAAAAAAATTTGCCTGAATCTACCCAAAAGAGCACAATCTTATCTATTAAATCCCACACAACTTATATATACTTAATAGTGTGAAAGGTGTTCCTTAAAATTCGTTTTTTATAAATGTTGTCTTTAATGGAATAATTTGTACACACACACACACAGTTAATTAGAATGAGAAAACAGGTGCAAATATTTAGAAACCAAGAGAAAACTGGGCCATGCATAAACGAGTTTCTCCCTCAAGAACATTAATGAGTTTGCCACTTTGTAAAAGTTCAGTTTATTAGAGGCACATGGGGAACCATGAGCGCTGAGAATAAGGTGGTATTGCAAGCGAGAGTCGGAGAATAGACCTGGTGCAATCAGGCTGTCGGGATTCTAATGCCTCAGTGCTCTCAGGCTAAGGGAAAAAGCCCACCAAAGACAAACAAAAGATACTTGCCTTATTTTGGGAGGTTTTGAATTATGTTACTTGGCAATTTCATTTTTTAACAAAAAGCAAAAGTAGATGGTTAGAAGATATAACTTGCTAATAAATTTGTTCCATCATTGAGTAAGCATAATATTTGAATGTTCAGGCAGAATGACCTTCAAAAGTCACATTTTCCAAAACAACCAATATCAATTCTAAGGTATATTGACGTTTCCTTCTTCCCTGGGATACTGTCATTTTTTTTCACTTATTTTTCTGACAACTTATTTTTCTGTATATTCATTGATTAGTTCACCCATCACTCATTCAATAGATACTTATTTAGCATCTACCATGTGCCAAGAGCCCTGGTAGACGTAGTAGGCAAGAGCTCAGCTGCTAACCAAAAGGTTGGCAGTTCCAATCCACCAGCCACTTCTTGGAAAAACTCTGGGGCAGTTCTACTCTGTCCTGTAGGGTCACTGTGAGTTGGAATCAACTTGACAGCAAAGGTATGTGCCAAGAAGGACCGGGAGTGGTGCAAGTAGTTTGCACTCAACTACTGACCTAAAGGTTGGTAGTTTGAACCCACCCAGTGGCACCAAGGAAGAAAGGCCTAGTGATCTGCTTCCATAAAGACTGTTGTTATTGTGTACTGTCAAGTCCATTTCAACTCATAACAACCCTATGGGACAGAGTAGAACTGCCCTATAGGGTTTCCAAGGCTGTAAATCTTCACAGAACCAGACTGCCACATCTCTCTCCTACGGAGTGGCTGGTGGATTCAAACCACCCATCTTCCGATTAGCAGCCGGATGCTTAACCACTGTGCCACCAGGGCTCCTTCTGTAAAGTTTACAGCCAAGAAAACCCAACGAAGCAGTTCTAATCTTTAACACATGGGATCGCCAAGAATCGGAATCAACTCAATGGCTATGGTTTTAGTTAATTTACTATCTGCCAAACACTTTACTATATCTTGGGATACGGCAGTAACTAAGGCATCTATTTGCATTTGAGAAATTTATATAAAGTCTTAGCTCCAAAAATCTCTACAGAGCAGATTAAAATGTTGAAGTTTGGTGTAAACAATGTTTTTATTTTCCCCTATCCACTCCTCCACCTCCCCAAAAGTAAAACTTGCATACATGGATCATAGACTAATGACTAGGCTTGAAATGAAAGGGGATAAGGAGGTGGGACAGGGTCAGCCCAAGGTATAAAGGAAAGAAAGATTTCTCCTAAGAAAAACAGCCCCTTATCCTGCTGGATACCAAGCATAGCTGAAACATTTTGTTTTCCTTTTTTGGCTGAGGCTTCTGGGCTGGAAAGAGGCTCCTCTGATTAGATCTGAGCAAACTTGACAATTCTCAGGAGCCTGCCAAGCATTCTGTCCTGGGTGGGCCAGAGTGTTCACACCATCCATCATTCACAACCTGCCAGGATGACACTAGAAAGTTGGAGGTTTAATCAGGCAGGAGAGAAGGCAATTTATTTGAGGACAGCTTTTCAACATCCTTGGGCATTATGGAAGTCTAGGCCTTGGGAGATTGCCCAATATTTCCTAGTCTTCCTCTAGCTACTCTCTGTCTTTCGAACTACACAGTGCACTACATATCCACATTCACTATAAACACCATTGGAGTTTCCATTAGAGGTTAATTAGCAGATGGAAAGTCAAAATAAATAATAGCATCCAGTGACTTCACTAATGATGGTTACGGACTTTAAAAATGCAGAATCTACTGAACATGGGCTCACTGTTTAGAAATCTGTTTGCAGCAGAGGAGTTTATCCAGATGAAAAGTCTCCCGGGAGAGGAAAGAAAACTCTGAGCTTCCTTTTCTTACCATGTTTCAAAACAACAATTTGAATTTAAATACCGGCCCTTTTTTTTTTTTTTAAAGAATTAACATTGGAGGAAAAGGGACACATTTGTTGTAAATACGGACTATGAGCACATAGCAAAGAAAAATAATCCAAGGCTCTGGATGGGTTCTGTGCATTTTGCCATTAAACAGAAAATCTGACATTGAGCAAAGAGGCAGCCAGCACTTAAAGTTTGCTAAAGAGTTGTTCAAAATTTAGGACAAGGAAATATTTGCAATATTTTTGAGGTATATGGAATTGGAGGCCAACTGAATCGTTCTGGGTTAATATGTTGCATGATGTAAATTGGTGCAATGGAAAGTAGGAGTGTGATTTAAGGCTCTTTCCTTCCATGCACATATGTGCTTAGGCTGCCTGTGCCACTCATTACCAATCACAGAAGGTAGACTATGAGAGTAAGAACTAGGCTTGTCACTGAGTGTTACCAGTTGCCATCAAGGTGATTATGACTTATGGCGACCCCATGTGTTTGAGAAGAACTGTACTCCATAGAATTTTTTCAAGGCTGTGACCTCTTGGAACCAAATTGCCAGGTGCCTTTCTTCTGAGATGCCTCTGAATGGGTTCAAACACCAAACTTTTGGTTATAGTTGAGCGCTTTACCATTTGCACCACCCAAGGACCATTGAATGTTAGAAAGGTAATATACAGGTGTGCCCTAGATTGCCTGTTGCTTTTTAAAAATGATAAAAGATCTGTATCTGTGTGAGCCAAAACAGCCAGCTGAAGCATAGAAAATTTAGCATAATCCAGACTGTAATTGTCACGGAGGGCAAATATACCCATCACTCTATTAACTACTCTTGGAAAAATGAATTCAGTCAAACCATCTTTGTCAAATGTGTTTAATTTATTTAATCTGTTCAATGCAGGAAGCTGGATCAGAGATAGTATATCTCAGCCTGGCTAGTATATGAGATGGAAGAGCAAAGATTTATTTATACAGTTATACCAGCACATCAGATACATAAGTAGAGGCTCTGAAGGCAGCTAATATTGCAGCATATGTTTGAACTGGCACTTACTCTGTCACTTAACCTCTCAGCCTCAGTTTACACATATGTAAAGTGGAAGTAATAAAACCATTTTTGCAGAACTTTAAGTGCTCAGTAAATGGTTAACTATTTATTATCTGTTTATATACCCAAATCTTCCTCCTTGGTAACTGTTTTGGAAACATAGATCCCTTTGAGAATCTGATAAAAGCTATGGAGTATATGCTTTTCTACCCATCACTCCAACCCCAGCCAGTGAAATATACACCCAAATTTGCCTGCATTTTCAGCAGGTCGCAGATTGTTTGAAGGCATTGACTGACTCCGTGCTAACAATCCCAGCCTTAGGAGAAGAAGATTTGAAGGGTTTCTCTGGAAAAGGTAGGATCCCGTGGAAAGGATGTACATATTTTTAGGGTTCTAGGTAACCCTATGAAGCAATCCTTTAGGCATATTTTATTTTACTTTGATGGTACCCTCATTAGTGTTATGTATTAGAGTTAGTGGGAAAGAAACATGACTCCAGAGGTACTTACAAGAAAGAAAAACATGACATTATACATTTTTCAAAATCAGATTTCCCTATTTGAAGTCTTGGCTAATAAAATGTTTTACTTTGACCTATACTGTAATTTTTCTTCTTTTTTATTGTTTGACTCTGTCTGGGCCTATATTTCAGCACAGGTTTTTCTATGGGCACCAAGATGAAAAATTAGAGGAGAAAAGGAACGTGGTATCATCCCACTGTTCTTTAGCCCAGACTTCTGTTCCACAAAGTTCTAATGTGACTCACCGTTCTCCAGTGAAACCAGGCCAACATATACATTTTAAATCACCCCGGACCTCTGTGCAGTTGCCTCCATTGTAGCAAGTGAGATTTGTCTTCTTGTTCCCACAGTCTGTTGAGGGTAATCTGGTGTGTCAGGAGAGATAAGAGTAACAACCACAGCTGTTCATTTTGTTCATTTCATTCAAGAAAAATTTTTTTGGAAAGTTCATGTATGTAGACAATGCCAAACTAATTAAGAACTCAGGCCGGCTGAGCTACAAATGCTTAACTGTGCTGCATGACACAGGAATCACTTTCTCCAGTGAAAAGTCCCTGCTGCAGGGTGCTGTGAGAAGCATGGCTATCCATCTTCCATTTCTACGGTTTTCATTCGTGAGATAAGATCTATGCCATGGGGTGGCAATAAATTCAGGGTTGGAAGGGAGCTTGCTATAGCTAGATTTGCTGCTGTTTTGCTAATAAATCAACAAAGGCCATAGGAAAATTGCATCTCTATAAAGGCCAGGAAAGCAAGGACAGCACTCTGGTACCCAAGCACTCATGTGATTTCTCTGCTGGCTTTCAGAGCTGAACTCCAGTTGCCCTGACAAGACTTGCTGCTCCCTATCTAATAATTCATAGCTTAGCAGAATGCAAGCCAAATGTTGTCCAGGAGGTTTGTACCTAGCACTCAGTGGTAACTGTATATGAATTCAGTGAGTGACTCTCTTGTACAACAGCAAAGCTGTATATGCTAAGGAATCCTTATAAAAAGAAGAACAATTGTTAGAAGTTATCATGACAAGGAAGGGACAGATGTTTGCAAAGATATTGCGGGTGTTACTCAAGCCCATTGTGTATGTGCATGGCATCTGATAAGTATTCAAGAAATTCGAGAAATGGTAGATGATTGGATTTTGCCCTGTTCTGTGAGCTGCAGCTAATAAGGGGGAAACTAGCCTATCTCATGGTAAATGTGTCTCTTCCAGCAAGAGCTAATCAATTCTGCTTAAAAGAGAAATTATCTTAAGGACTTTTCAAAAGAGCCCAAAATGTCAACCAGCTTTGAAACAGGTCAATTAGCAATGCAAGTGTGAAAGTTTGTATACAATCTTAGGTTTAGTAAACAATTCTTGAAACTCATTAGAAGGTACTTTTGAGAACTTTGGTCTTCGAGAACTTGACTTTGATGAATTAGGCTGAAAAAAATACTTGCAGAACTAGTTCCTTCTAGGGCATATATGTTTATTTTACTTATTCAAAGTCAGCATGGCAGTACTATTCATTTTGACCCTGAATTTCTCTTGCTTTCATCAGGCAGTTTACCTGTTGGCAAATGTGTTGGTTAACACATGGGAAGTAACTTTTTATTGGAATGCCAACCCTTAGTACCTAACACTATTCCTTGCCTTGGTAGGTTCTTAATAAGTGTGTCTAAGCCATCTAGTGCTGGTATAGTAGAAGCACCACAAGGGAAAGACTTTAACAAACAAAAATTTATTCTCTCACAGTTTTGGAGGCTAGAAATCCTAATTCAGGGTACCAGCTCTAGGGAAGGTTTTTTCTCCCTGTCATCAATCTTCCCCTGGTGTAGGAGCTTCTCAGCACAGGGACCTTGAGTCCAAAGGACGTACTCCACTCCTGGTACTTCCTTCTTGGTGGTATGAGGTCCCTTATCTCTCTGCTCACTTCTCTCTTCTTTTATCTCTTTTAAGATAAAAAATGATGCAGGCCACACCCCAGGGAAATTCCCCTTACATGGGATCAGGGATGTGACCTGAGTAAGGGTGTTGCATCCCACCCTAATCCTCTTTAACATAACCTAACCTTGCCTCATTAACCACAGGCAGAGATTAGGATTTAAAACACACAGGAAAATTACATCAGATCACAAAATGGAGGACAACCACATAATACTGGGAATCATGGCCTAGCCAAGTTGACACACATTTTTGGGGGACATAATTTGATCCATAACAAAGTGTTATGGAGATATGTGAAATTTCTTTTTTTTATTTTTTTCCATACAAAAATTTATGCATAGTTATGTGACTCTAATTGCTCTCCCCATACTGTGACAGCACACTCCTCCTTTCCACCCCTGATTCCCCATGTCCATTCAACCAGCTCCTAACCCTCTCTGCCTTCCCATTTCACCTCAGGACAGAAGCTGCCCATTTAGTCTCTTGTATCTACTTGATCTAAGCAACACACTCCTCACAAGTATCACTTTATGTCCCACAGTCCAGTCCAATCTTTGTCTGAAGAGTTAGCCTCAGAAATTGTTTTAGTTCTGGGCTGATAGAGAATCAAGGGGCCATGCTTTTCAGGGTTCCTCCAGTCTCAGTCAGACCATTAAGACTGGTCTTCTTACTAGAATTTGAGTTCTGCACCCCACCTTTCTCCTGCTCCAGCCGGGGCTCTCTGTTGTGTTCCCTGTCAGGGCAGTCATTGGTGGTAGCCGGGCACTATCTAGTTCTTCTGGTCTCAGGCTGATGAAGTCTCTGGTTTATGTGGCCCTTTCTGTCTCTTGGGCTAATACTTTCCTTGTGTCTTTGGTGTTCTTCATTCTCCTTTACTCCAGGTGACTGGGACCAATTGATGCATCTTAGACGGCCGCTTGAAAGCTTTTAAGACCCCAGATGCCACTCGCCAAAGTAGGATGCAGAACATTTTCTTACTAAGCTTTATTATGATGATGGACCTAGATGTCCCCTGAAAGCATGGTGGTCCCCAGACCCCTATCCCTGCTACTCTGTCCCTCAAAGTGTTTGATTGTATTCAGGAAACTTCTTAGCTTTGGTTTAGTCCAGTTGTGCGGACTTCCTCTGTAGTGTGTGCTGTCCTTCCGATATGTGTAATTTCTTATAGGTGTGGGCACGTGTTACATTTGCTAAGAGCTTCATCCAATTAAGGAACCGCCTCTGAATCAGTGTAAAATCTACAGGCTGCCAACTCACTGTTAAAGCCCTGGAATATATTACTTGTTAATACTAACTCATTCACTTCCCCATAATAATTTCACTGTTCTGTAAATTTTAAGCAGTATAAAAATTATAAAAACAAATAATGACTTTGACTTACATGGAAATACAGAAGCAATGTGACTTAAAGGAAACATATTCTTGTCTTTTTATATGACATAAAATGGAGGTGGTTACTGAAGCTAAAACACTATTTTTTAGTTTTAGAAAAAATTATAGAAGACTTTGAAAACAGGTAAAAGAGATCACTGGGTGTTCTTTCAATGGAATGCTGGGTGCTATATAGTGGATCCTCTGAGATTTTCTAGGGGTGCATATCTCAGATTGTCTTTACTAAGCTATTTTTCAACTCTGTAATTGAAATATTATATTAATGCAAATTAATCTTGTACTAAGAAATGTAAATTAATTTGTCTATAGTGATATAATTGATTTTCACATTGTAGAAAATATGATTCCAAACATAGATTTTTATTACCCTATAGGATATTAAATGGTTTCTCATATACTAGCAAATTCATTTTGTCATTCTTGTCTGTAGATTGCCCTTTGAATTAGTCTTTATATCTTACTGGTTCCCTCATTAATTAACGGTTAGATAAAGTCCTCAACACATATTTATTCTATATTTGTACAAGAGTTATGATTTTACATTTTTGAAATTATACTTTAATGAAGTCTTTCCAAGATTTTACAATATTTACCTGTCTGAAATAACTCAAGCATCATTTTAGTGGTAGAAGTCATGCCTTCCTAAGAATACTAAAATTCAACTTTTTGCATCTATTGGTAATCTTCTTCCCCTCCCCCTGTACCTCGCCCCAAGACATTAAGCTTGTCAGACTCTGGGGCTATAGTTCATGAGATATATTCAAAGAAAGATGACTGAGAAAACATTTTACTTGGACGTCTCTTCAAAACACTCCCATTCTTACATGTAGAACATCCTAACTAGTGAGATCTTGTCTTTATGTGACCAACTGTGAAGAAACTGACCAATGCCAGCCCTTTTCAGCACAGCCTATATTTGCACACCTTGAAGAGAGAGCTTTTCAATTAGACAAGGAAAATACAGAGCATAGCTCTAAAGTCGAAGCTTCATATGGATTTTATGCTCACCTGCAAAATTTTCCTGTAAAATTTCCCAAACAGAGGCAAGAATAGCCATTAGTGTCGCTGATGCAGGTGGCCCCATTAGCACATTGGTGACTTTGACAATTGTCTATCTCCACTTCACAGTTCACGCCTGTGTATCCAGGCTCACAACTGCAGTGGTAGGCTGCAACTCTGTCAGAGCAGTTACCATGGATACAGGGGTTTGAAAAGCATTCATCAGTGCCAAGTTCACAGTGTGTCCCTGACCATCCCAAGGGACAGGTGCAATTATATGAGCTGTAGAGATCTTCACAATTTCCACCATGCAAACAAGGATTGGAGTTGCAGGCATTCAGCTCCAAACAGCCAGTAACCACCGAATTTGTAGAGATTTTGAGAAACTGCTCTTCCTGGGGTTTATTAGTGAAACCACGAATATTTTCAGAGTAAGAGAGATAAATACCACTGATTTCTATTGTACTTAGACACCCTTGCAAGCCATTCATATTGTCCAAAGTTCGGTCACCAACGTAAATGTCTGTATCAGCCTTCAAAAAGTTGAGGTTTCCAGTAGCAGCTGTACTGGTCACAAACGGTGTTCGGTTGTCCACTTGCATTTGCCACTTGGACGACTGGGCCAGTGGGTCTGTCATGGAAAGAGTCACTTGGTGCCATGTGTCATCATTTACTGGCTGCAAACTTGTCAGACTCAGCATATAAAAACTGTTGCCACTTTGTAGTTGAAATAATAATCTAGAGTCTTGAATGCTAATATTAAGAAATTCAGGCTCTTTCTCTGCATGAAATATTACAACATTTGTATCCTTTGTTCTGAAACCAAATGTGATGTTGGTGAGTTCTCTAGTAATATTCCCATTGCTCCTGAATAATATTTCACTGCTTTGTCCAATAAAAACAGCATTTGCAATACCTAAAGAGAGAAGGCAATTCCAATTGGTGAATTTATTCAAACTGTAACGTTGGCCTAATTGCCTTATGGCATTATGATCATCATGCTAATGGCTATCATGTACATGTTAGGCACTGTGCTAATTGCTTTTATATTATTTCTAATACAGAATCTTTGTATACATGTATTATTATTATTATCACTATTGCTATATCCCCTGGTGGCATAGTGGTTAAGTGCTATGGCTGCTAACCAAAAGGTTGGTGGTTCGAATGCACCAAGCGCCCCTTGGAAATCCTATAGGGCAGTTCTGCTCTGTCCTATAGGGTTGCTATGAGTTGGAATCGACTTGATGGCAACGGGTTTTTTTTTAATCCCCTTTCTATAGAGGAAGAAACTGAGATTTATAGAAGTTAAGTAAATTGCTCACGGTCATGTGGCTAACAAATGATAGAGCCAGAATACCAAATGTGGTTGGTCTGATACCAAAACCCAAACCATACATTTCTTTTCCATTGAAATCCTAAGGCAAAGCAATATTTATCTTGTAGATCCTCTCACAAATAAAATGCTAAACATTTTACACATAAAGAAATTGAGCACAAAGAACTCACAAATCTGGTGAGGGTGACAGAGAAAATTAACAGTAGAGTCTGGCTACAGATTAAGCTGATCAGTAAGCAACCAAAAGTAGGATTCCAAAATGACTGATTTACTTACCTGGCAAAACTCCAATTATGTGCCAATCTATCAACTCTGCCTACACTCAGGTAGCTGCATGTGGCTGGAGAAAAATATGCAACCATATGAATTGCTCTTAAATTTATGCTCACATACTGTATATGAGCACCATGCTTTTGGGTAATCATATTACACTCTTAAAGTGTTTTTCCCATTCTGCAGGATCATTAATTCACATTTTTTTAATTTTTTAAAAAATTTTATTGTGCTTTAGGTGAAAGTTTACAGTGCAAATTAGCTTCTCATTCAAAAATTTATACACATTATTTTGTGACATTGGTTGCAATCCCTGCAACGTGTCAGCACTGTCCCCCTTGCCCCTTACACCCTGGGTTTCCCATGTCCATTCATCCAGCTTTCCTGTCCCTTCCTGTCTTCTTGTCTTTGCTTTTGTGTGGGTGTTGCCCATTTAGTCTTGAATACTTGACTGAACTAAGAAGCACGCTCCTCACGTGTGTTATTGTTTGTTTTATAGGCCTGTCTAATCTTTGGCTGAAAGGTGGACTTCAGGAGTGGCTTCAGTTCTGAGTTAGCAGGGTGTCTGGGGGCCATAGTCTGGAGGTTCATCCAGTCTCTGTCAGACCAGTAAGCCTGGTCTTTTTTTGTGAATTTGAATTTTGTTTTACATTTTTCTCCTGCTCTAAGTAGGGTCCCTGTCAGAGCCATTGGTGGTGGTAGCCAGGCACCTGCACCTTCTATTTCCTCTGGGCTCAGGATGGTGGAGGCTATGGTTCAGGTGGTCCATTAGTCCTTTGAACTAATATTTTCCTTGTGTTTTTGGTTTTCTTCATTCTCCTCTGCTCTCGACTGCATGGGACCAACAGATGTATCTTAGATGGCTGCTCACAAGCTCTTAAGATCCCAGACGCTACTCACCAAAGTAGGATGTAGAACATTTTCTTTATGAGCTATGTTATGCCAATTGACCTAGTGTCCCCCAAGATCATGATCCCCAGCCCTCAGCCTCAGTAACTCAGTCTCAGTCCCTCAAGGTGTTTGGACGTGTCTAGGAAGCTTCTACGACTTTGCCTTGGTCAAGTAGTGCTGACTTCCCCTATATTGTGTGTTGTCTTTCCCTTCACCAAAGTTAACACTTGTCTACTGTCTGGTTAGTGATCTTCTCTCCTCCTTCCCCTCCTTCGTAACCGTCAAAGAGTGTTTTTTTTTCTGTGTGTAAGCCTTTTCTTGGATTTTTATAATACTGGTCTTGTACAATATTTGTCCTTTTGTGATTGACTTATTTCACTCAGCACAATGCCCCCCAGATTCATCCATGTTGTGAGAAGTTTCACAGATTCATCATTTTTTATCATTGTGTAGTATTCAATTGTGTATATGTACCCATAATTTGTTTATCCATTCATCTATTTGTGGGCACCTATTTCCATCTTTTTGCTGTTGTTAATAATGCTGCAGTGAACATGGGTGTGCATATGTCTATTCATGTGATGGCTCTTATTTTTCCAGGATATATTCCTAGGAGTGGGATTGCTGGATCATATGGTATTTCTATTTCTAGATTTTTAAGGAGGCATCTTTTCATTTTCCATAATGATTTTACCATTTTACATTCCCACCAGCAGTGCATAAGAGTTCTAATCTCCCCACAACGTCTCCAACATTTGTTATTTTCTGATTAGTGCCAGTTATGTTGAGGTGACATGGTATCTTATTATAGTTTTGATTTGCATTTCTCTAATGGCTAATGGTGCTTGCTTTGGCAGCACATGTAGTAAAATTGGAATGATACGGAGAAGATCAGCATGACCCCTGCTCAAGGATAACATGCAAATTTGTGAAGCGTTCCATATTTTTTTGGAGCCCTGGTGGTGTAGTAGTTAAGAGCTACGGCTGCTAACCAAAAGGTTGGCAGTTTGAATACACCAGCCTCTCCTTGGAAACCTTATGGGACAGTTCTACTCTGTCCTGTAGGATTACTATGAGTTGAAATTGACTCGATGGCAAGGGTTTTTTTTTTTGTTTTTTTTTTTAATAATGGCTAATGAATCTAGAAAAATTGGAAGTTGTCAAAAAGGAAATGGGCTGCATAAGGTTTGATATCCTAGGCATTAGTGAGCTGAAAAGGACTGGTACTGGGCATTTTGAATTGGACAATCATATGGTATACTATGCTGTGAATGACAAATTAAAGAGGAATGACATCATATTCATTGTCAAAAAGAAGATTTCAAGATCTATCCTGAAGTACAATGCTGATAGTGATAGGATGATGTCCATATGCCTACAAGGAAGACCAGTTAATATGACTATTACTCAAATTTATACACCAACTTGTAATGCCAAAGATGAGGAAATTGAAGATTTTTATCAACTTCTGCAACGTGAAATTGATCAAACATGCAATCAAGATGCATTGGAATGTGGAAGTTGGAAACAAAGAAGAAGGATTGGTAGTTGGAAAATATGGCCTTGGTGACAACAAAAATTTTGCAATACCAATGGCTTGTTCATTGCAAATATCTTTTTTCAGCAACATAAACGGTGACTATACATGTGGACCTCACTGGGTGGAAAACACAGGGAAAAGGAACGATGGAAAAGTTCAATATCATCAGTAAGAACAAGGCCAGGGGAAAACTGTGGAACAGACCATCAACTGCTTGTATGGAAGTTCAAGCTGAAACTGAAGGAAATTAGAGTAAATCCATGAGAGCAAAAATACACCCTTGAGTATATCCCACCTGAATTCAGAGACCATGTTCAAGAGTAGATGATCGAAGACCAGCCAAGTTGTGGGAAGACATCAAGGACATCATACATGAAGAAATCAAAAGGTTATTAAAAAGACAGAAAACAAAAAGAATAACCCAAAATGGATGTCAGAAGAGACTTTGAAACTTGCTCTTGAAGGTAGAGTAGTTAAAGCAAACAGAAGAAATGATGAAGTAAAAGAGCTGAACCAATGATTTCAAAGGTCAGCTTGAGAAGACAAAGTAAAGTATTATAAGGAAATATGCAAAGACCTGGAAACCCAAAAGCGAAGATTTCTCAAGCTGAAAGTACTGAAGAAAAAAATTCAAGCCTCAAGTTGCAATACTGATGGTTTCTATGGGGAAAATATTGAATGACTCAGGAAGCATCAAAACAAGATGGAAGGAATACACAGTCACTGTACCAAAAAGAATTGGTTGATGTCAACCATTTCAGGAAGTAACATATGATCAAGAATCAATGGTACTGAAAGAAGAAGTCCTAGCTGCACTGAAGGGAATGGCAAAAAAAAAAAAAAAAAGAAAAAAAAGGCTCCAGGAATTGTCAAAATACTAATTGAGATGTTCCAACGTACGGATGCAGCTCTGGAGGTGTTCACTTGACTATGTCAAGAAATTTGGAATGCAGCTTCTTGGCCAACCAACTGGAAGAGATCCATAGTTGTGCCCATTCCAAAGAAAGGTGATCCAACAGAATTCAGAAATTACCAAACAATATCATTAATATCACACACAAGTAAAATTTTGCTGAAGATCATTCAAAAGCAGTTGCAGGGAACTGCTGAAAGTTCAAGCCTGATTCGGAAGAGGTTGTGGAATGAGGGATATCATTGCTAATGTCAGATGGATCTTGGCTGAATGCAGAAGATACTAGAAAGATGCTTACCTGTGTCTCATTGACTATGCAAAGGCATTGACTGTGTGAATCATAATTATGGATAACATTGTGAAGAATGGGAATTGCAGAACTCTTAATTGTGCTCATGAGGAACCTGTACACAGACCAAGAGGCAGTCATTTAAACAGAACAAGGGGATACTGCACGGTTTAAAGTCAGGAAAGTTGTGTGCCTGGGTTGTATCCTTTCACCATACTTATTCAATCTGTATGCTGAACAAATAATCCAAGAAACTGGACTATATGAAAAAGAATGGGGCATTAGGATTAGAGGAAGTCTCATTAACAACCTGCGACATGCAGATGACACAACCTTGCTTGCTGAAAGTGAAGAGGACTTGAAACACTTACTGATGGAGATCAAAGACCACAGTCTTCAGTATGGATTACACCTCAACATAAAGAAAACAAAAATTCTCACAATAAGCAACATTATGATAATTGGAGAAAATATTGCATTTGTCAATGATTTCGTTTTACTTGGGTCCACAGTCAATGCTCATGGAAGCAGCAGTCAAAAAATCAAACGACACATTGCATTGGGCAAGCCTGCTGCAAAAGACTTTTTTAAAGTGTGAAAAAGCAAAGACGTCACTTTGAGGACTAAAGTAAGCCAAGCCATGGTATTTCCAATCACCTCATATTCATATGAAAGCTGGACAGTGAATAAGGGAGACCGAAGAAGAATTGATGCCTTTGAATATTGGTGTTGGTGAAGAATATTGACTATACCACGGACTGACAGAAGAACGAACAAATCTGTCTTGGAAGAAGTACAGCAAGAGTGCTTCTTAGAAGTGAGGAGGTGAGAATTTGTCTCGTGTACTTTTGAACATGTTACCAGGAAGGACCAGTACCTGGAGAAGGACATCATGCTTGGTAAAGTAGAGGGTCAGCGAAAAAGAGAAAGACCCTCAAGGTGACAGACTGACACAGTGGTTGCAACAATGGTCTCAAACGTAGCAAGGATTGTGAGGACAGTACAGGATCAGGCAAAGTTTTGTTCGGTTTACATGGGTTCGCTATGAGTTGGAACCGACTTGAGGGTACCTAATAACAACCACAGTGGCTAATAATCATGAGCATTTTCTCATGTGTCTGTTAGCTGCCTGAATGTCTTCTTTGGTGAAGTGTCTGTTCATATCCTTTGCCCATTTGTTAAGTGGATTATTTATCTTTTTGTTACCGAGGTGTTGAAGTATTCAATAGATTTTGGAGATTAAACCCTTATCAGATATGTTGTTGCCAAAATTGTTTTTCCTAGTCTGTAGGTTCTCCTATTACTCTTTTGGGGAAGTTTTTTGACGAGCGTAAGTGTTTACTTTTAGGAGCTCCTAGTTATCTAGTTTATCTTCTGGTGTTTGTTACAGCCTGTTTTCTATTTATGCCATGTATTAGGGCCTCTAGCTTTGTCCCTCTTTTTCTTCCATGATCTTTATTGTTTTAGATTTTATATTTAGGTCTTTGATCCACTTTGAGTTAGTTTATGTGTACAGTGTGAGGTACGGGTCGTGTTTCATTTTTTTACAGATGTACATCCAGCTTTGCCAGCATCATCTGTTAAAAAGACTATCTTTTCCCTATTTTCCCCATTTGTCCTTTGTCAAAGATCAGCTGACCATAAGTGGATGTATTTATATCTGGGTTCTCAGTTTTGTTCCATTGGTCTATGTGTCTGTTGTTGTACCAGTATCGGGCTGTTTTGAATACTGTGGCTCTATGGTAGGTTTTGAGATCAGGTGGTATGTGGCATGTGAGGAGCTCTGGTGGCATAGTGGCACAGAGCTATGGCTGCTAACCAACAGGTTGGTAGTTGAAATCCACCGGCTGCTCCTTGGAAACCCTATGGGGCAGTTCTACTCTGTCCTATAGGGTCATATGAGTTAGAATCAACTCAATGGCAATGGGTTTGGGTTTGGTAGAGTAGGTTCTGAGATCAGTTAGTGTGTGGCCTCCTAGTTCTTTTTCTTCAATAATGCTTTCTTTATCCAGGGCCTCTTTCCTTTCCGTTTAAAGTTGGTAATTAGTTTTTCCATCTCTTTAAAGAATGCTGTTAGTATTTGGATTGGGATTGCATTATATTTGTATATCAGTTTGGGTAGAATTGACATTTTCACAATGTTGGATCTTCCTCTCCATGAATATGGTATGTTTTTCCATTTATGTAAGTCTCTTTTGGTTTCTTGCAATAGTGTTTTATACTTTTCTTTGTATAGGTCTTTCATGTCCCTGGTTAGATTTATTCCTAGGTATTTTATCTCTTTATGGTCACATCTGCTTTATGTCCTGAAGTATCTAATGCTAACTCAGCTGATGGTCTCCTTTCACATTTTCTTGAGAAAATATGAGAAAGGAGAACTGCCTCAGCTTTCCACCAAATCAGTAAATCTAACAGCGCCTGGGTCCACTTCTGCCTTCCTTTCCGTTATAATGGATGAACTGTCCTTACTTCCATTGAAGGTCAACCTTCGACTCATGCATTGGTTGTCATTACTTTTCTCCCTTTCTAGGACATTGTTCTTCCCTGCATCATCATTTTTCTCTTTTTGTTTGTTGTTTCCCTCAGTATACAAATATTCTGTAATTACTCTTATCTTAAAAAATAACACACACAAGACCCAAAAGCACTACTGACTCATCCCCCCTTCTGCTATTTTCCTATTTCTCTATTGTCTTTTCCAGAAAATGTATCCTCATCATCCCCACTTTATCATCTCCTATTCTTTCTTGAAAATATGCCTCTCAAGCTTTTGTTCCTATTGCTTTACTGAACTCACTCTTGTCAAGATCACAGTGACCTACAAGTTACTCAATCCAGTGGTCAATTCTCTACTCTTATTTCACCAGTCAGTAGCATTTGACCTTAAAACTCTGTCTTTGCTTCCCTTTTGGGGCACCCCACCTGACCTCTAGCACCTTTGATATAGAGTAATTACTTCTTAGTGTCTCTGCTTCCATTGCCCTGCATATCAATATAACAACCACTTCTTGGCTCAAGACCACCTATCAGTTACCATCACATCTAGAACGAAGTCATAAGGCCTAGGAGAGTATACCTCACCTGACCTTTGACTAACTTTCTAGTCCCATTTTCTACCACACTCTTCCTCATTCTATGCCACAGTCACAAAAACTTCTTGCCATTCTTTGAAGACACCAAGTTTGTTCACAACCCAGGTCTTTTACTGCTGTGACATATACCCAGAATATTCTTCCCCCAAATCTTCCCACATCTGGCTCTTTCTCCACATTAATACCTGCTCAAATGCCACCTCCTCTGGGAAGCCTTTCCTGACTATCCAAGTTGAAATAGCTATCTCCCTGCAACCTCTCTCTGTACTATTACTCTGCTTTATTTTCTTGATAACATTTGTCTCCATTTGAAATTACATTGTTTGTTTGCCTACTTGTTTTTGGACTGTCTTTCTTCACTAAAACACAAGCTTTACAGGATCAGAGATTGTCTCTGTCTAGGCTATCACTAAATCCTTGTGTCTAGAATATTGCCTGACACATAGTAGGTCTTCAGTAAACACTGACTAAATGAATAGTGTATGAAACTCCTCCATCCATTATTCTAGAAAATGAGATAATGTTTAGAAACTACAGCAGGACAAAATTCACGTGTGTCATTGGATTGGGTTAAAATCTCACTTGATTTTATTGTTTTGATTGTAGTGTTGTTTCTGTATGGTTTTGGATCAGGGGTTGGGGAGGAAAAAGTATCAAGTGTCTCATTACATATTTTTAAGTAAATGTTAAAATGATACATCTCATTAGCTCTACAACTCCTAAAGGAAGAGCACATCTGTAATTCTATATAACTTTGTTTTGCTAACATTGCTGATAACACTGAAATCACTTCTTGTGGTCTGGATCTAAACCACAATGCCCATAACACACTTTATATTTTGCCTTTTGTTCAGGGAACATTGCCATAATAAACACACCTGTGTCTAAAGTAGCTTGTAAATTTTTAAATCTTGGTTTTCTGATCGGATACAGAGAAAGAGATGATTAACATCCTCAAAACAAACTCAGGGTAATCCACGAGCTGTACTCAAGAGAGTATGTCGTTCTAGGAGAACTAATCTCAATATATTTTACTTGAAAAAAACATACAACAGGGTTATAAGATCACATCAAATTGAAATTATTCAAAGTAGCAGAAGTGAATTTTGGCATTCATACCTGTCCATTAGGAAAACTTTACCCTTCTCATTTATTTAAATTTTCTCTCTTCACTAAGCTGTCACATTTTAAAAAAAATGTTACTGGGACTTTTTGGAGGGTCAGAGCCAGACTTTTCTACTTCTTCTGCAGCGACAATGCAGTGAAGCTAAGGATTCACATCACTCCTTTCTGATACACATGTGCCCAAACCCTAAACTGCTTTCTGTGTGACTGAAGAGAAGAGTACATCAGGCACATTGTTCTTGGACTACCACTGTTTTTAGAAATCCTGTTCTCTGTTCTTGAATAGGTTCAAAATGATTTAAAGCCTTTGTAGAACACTGCTGTAATTAACGACTTACCATTTTAGTCAAAAGATTAATAATTAATAAACTGTTTGCCATTGTTAGTTACCCTCTAGTCAGTTCTAACTTGTGGCGACCTCTTGTGTGCAAAATAGAACTGCTCCATAGGGTTTTCAAGCCTGTGACCTTGTCTTCCCAGGCGCCCAGAAGCTTAACTGTTTCAAGGCTTAACTGTCTGCACCACCCAGAAAACCCGTTGCTGTCGAGTCCATTCAGATTCATAACAACCCTGTGGGACAGAGTAGAACTGCCACCATAGGATTTCCAAGGAGCGGCTGGTGGATTCGAACTGCCAATCTTTTGGTTAGCAGCTGAGCTCTTAGACTTAATAAACTATGGAAGTCATTTCAGAGGTAGAACAATGGAAAAGTTTGCACTTAAAATTCTCTGCCATATTAGAATCCATGTTATATTGTTTATGCCAATTCATTATGCTTTATATACATGCATAATGTACATTTCTTAAATATGAAACAAAGTAAATATGTTCTTCTAGAAAACTTCTCCATGTATATATAGGCTATATTTCATATACGTGTTTAATGTATATTAATATATATAAACATAAACTACATACATTTTTATTTTTCCTCAGTTACTGGGGTTTATTCTAAATAGGCTATTGTTGCTAAGGAATTCAGGTCATTCTGTTCTCTAGTTCTAATACATTACATTAGAGCATTGTTTTCCAAGGTATTTTATGATATTTATTTATAGTAAGCAGATAGACTACTTAATGTCCACAGCAGTCAGGTGAAAATGCTGAGTTCATCTGAAGAAAAATAGTAAGTGAATTTATTCATTTAACAAGTGTTGATTGAAACCCTATTATATGTTTGGCACCATTTTTAGTGCAAAGAGTAACAAGGGAAACAATCTAGAAGATTTCTTTCTCTTAGGAAACTTACATTCTGGTGAGGAAAGAGGATAAACAAATACATACATAACAAAATATTAAAGTGTGATAAGTGATATGAAGAAAAATAAAGCCAGGTTAGAGAACATTGGGCAGAAAACTGAAGGAAATGATGAAAGCAATCTGTGAAGCTCTGGGTTAAGATATTATAAGATGGAGGTGGTGGCGGTGTGCTGGAGCCTGATCAAATGTAGTTAAAGAGAAAATGGAGTGAGACATCATACACATACTGAAGACAACTTTTTAGATGGGCTTCACCATAAAAGGAAGCAGAGAAATGGGTTGGTAGCTGGTGAGGAAGGGGGAAAGGGAATCAAGGCAATTTTTCTATAACAAGGAAATTTGACTGTGTTTATATGCTTATGGGAAAATGGATGATGCGGAAGACTGAGAAAAATTTTAGGAGCAAAATCTTAGCAAAAGGGAAACCCATTGAAAATCCGTTGCCGTCGAGTTGATTCCAACTCATAGTGCCCTATAGGACAGAGTAGAACTGCCGCAGAGGGTTTCCAATGAGCTGCTACTGGATGTGAACTATCGAACTTTTGGTTAATAGCCAAACTCTTAACCACTGTGCCACCAGGGCTCCTCAAAAAGGGAATGCGATTAGAATTCAATGCAATCATAAAGGGTTTGCCATAGATTGGACTTTGCATTATTTGAAGTAGGAGAGAAAGAGTATAAGTAATAGTGTAGCTACTCAGTATAATGACTGTTCACAATAGTCAGAAATCGTGAATATGATGCTCAAATTGCTAACATTTGGGAAATTGTATTGTCATACCAAAGACATGCAGGGAAACACTCCAGATTGAGGGAAATAGTAATACCAGTTCAGTGGCTGGCTAGCTGATTCCAACTCATGGTGACCCATGTGCATCAGAGTAGAACTGTGCTTCAGAGGGTTTTCAATGGCTGATTTTTTGAAGACTTTCTTCCAAGACGTCTCTGGGTGGGTTCAAACCACCAACTTTTGGTTAGCAGCTGAGCATGTTAACTACTTGCACCACCCAAGGACTATAGAAATATTAACACCAAACATTAATTGAGTGCCTAATGTGTTTGGCTCTTTACTTATAAGATCATATGATTACCACAAAGAAACCTACAAAGTAGACATTGTTATTGTTGTTTTACAGATGAGGACGCTTGCGATTACGGAGGTTAAGTGAATTGCCTGAGGTCTGAGTTGATAAATGGCAGGGAGCTAACACTAGCCCAGTTACTGTGTATTCCCAATAATAAGGGGGTAAGAAAGCAGTCATTACTTGGTTAATTCTTTCTTCAGAAATAAGCTTTAAATGATTAAGGATCTAAGTTTGGCTACCGCTCCCGTTTCCCACCCAGACATCCAGGGGCAGGATGAGGCAAGAGGCCTATGGGGTTCATTTTACACTCATATTAGAGGTAACAGCCACAATTTTCTTCAATCAACTGGTTTTGTCTGCATTCTTTTCTGTGTTTCTTCCTTGAACAACTGAAATGCCCAATTAAATTGGATGAATGATAAGTTTGAACTCTACCTACATTCAAATCCTTGGGGCACCATCAGGCACTGGGCTTTTGGAGGACATGGGCTGAGCTGACACCACTGAACTTCCTCACAAGCTTTCCCAGTTGCGTTCGGAGGGCAGGAACATGAGAAGTCTTCCCACATGGAGTAGCAAACACCTCCGTTGTGACAGGGGTTGGACTAAACAGAAGAGAAATCATAGGCATAAAAATCACTGGTAACTATATACTGAAATGTTGAAGACAAGATATTTTTAAATGCCAATTTCTCTTACATCTTTACATTTTATAAATAAATAGAGGAGTAAAACTTACTGCTACTATTGCCATCTAGTTTCTAAAAGTGAAGGAGAGGGCAGGAAGGAGAGACAGAGAGAGAGAATGTGTAAAATTGATGTCCTAGTACTACATAAGGAGGATTTTGAAAAGAGTAACAATACTCTTCATAATTAAAAATTACCAGGTACTTTTTCTGTTTTTACAGTTGAGGAAGCTGAGGCCTTCTAACTACCCAAGATTTTATAAAGAAGTCAAATAATGAAGCTTGGTACATAGATCTTCTGGATCCTAATTCAGTGACACCCTTAAACCCCTCACACAGTTTGTTCTGCTTCTAAGTCAGAGACATATTATTATTATTTGAGTTCTCACAAGGTTGCTCACAAAGTATTCAAAATGAAAATATTTACAAAAAAAAATCTGAAAGCCCAGGCTGTATGTCTCTGCTCCACTATTTACTATGTGATTCGCACAGTTACATAAGATTTCTAAACTTCAGTTCCTTTATCTGTAAATAATGTGAATGGTGGAGCATAATGTAAATAATATAAATGGGGGATGATAATGTCTATTTCATACAGCATTCTTTTAACAGAATTAAATGAATTAATTAATGCAAAACAGTGCTTGTCACATTGAAAGTACTCCTATAATAATGTTACAATGATTCATTTTGTAAATTTAGCAACAAGCATAGTGCATGGCAATAGTTGGAGCTCAGTAAATGTTCCACAGATATACTTGTGTTTTCCCTTGAAAGGCCATGCAGAACTAACAAATTTATATATTTATGCAGGTTTTGGAAGAGAAAGCTAAAATGAAGTAAAGCATGGGTTCTGGAAAATTATTTTAGAGGATTTCAAATCCAGCTACCATAGGAAAGCTATCTCTCAGTTTATTTTTTCTTGTTGGCTTAATAGAAGTACAAAACAGTAGGTGGACATTTAAAATAAAGTTAATGGTGTCTCCCAAAAAGTAGTAACACAGTTAAATCTCTGGGCTGCCATTAAGGGTTTAAGAAAATAAAATACTATTACTCCTTGAGTAATTTGGTTGTTATGGAGGTCAGGGAAGTATGCAGCTGGAGGGGTCTTGGTTGGTTAAATAGACCATGATGCCAATAAGGACAAGGCCATGTTTTTATTATTGTTGTTATTAGCTGCAGTCTAGTTGGCCCCTGACTCATGGAGCCCAATGCACAATGGAACGAAGCACTGCCCTGTCCTGTGCCATACCCATGACTGATTGTGGAAAGGACTGTTGTGACTCATAGGGTTTTCACTGGCTGATTTTAGGAGGTAGATTGCCAGGCCTTTCTTCCCAGTCTGTCAGTCTGGAAGCTCTGCTGAAACCTGTTCAGGACCATAGCAACATGAAAGCCTCCACTGACAGACAGGTACATGGGCTGGAAACAGCACCCAGGACGCCCGTGTGGAAGGGGAGAATTCTAACATTGAACCACCAATGCCGCCATGATTTTATGACTCAATGTAAGTCCCTCAGTACAACTTGGAAAATATTGACAAAGTATTATCCTATTGCTGGTGGGCTAGTAACATCATCTTCATATACAAAGAATAGTTTTAATAAATAGGTACAGTTAAAGTAAAAATTTAGCATAGAATATGGAAATAGTTGGTATGAATAATCTTACCTTGCAGATGTTGTCTCCAGGACAGCCTCGAGTAACATTGACAAGAATTGGATTGTGGGTTTTATCGCTGGTTGAATTTGGGAAGAATTCCAGATTTTCGTTGTTTAATCTTAAATCTTGGATACAGCCTTTGAAGAACCCACCATTGACTTCAGTCTTTTGCCTGTCAGGCAGGCCGCTAATGTAGATGACATCTCCTTTTCGGATGTTCCATGTAGGAGAAGAAATATATCCTAGATGTTGTGAAGACTGATATAGTTCAATTTTATTTGGCCGAATTTTCAAAGATACCAAGTGGACATTTCCATCATTAAGAACAAATCTTACTACTAATTTGGGAGAACTTGGAGTCAGCATTGCTGGTCTGCCATGCTCTAGCCAGACACGGATATATTGATAGGTGCTGTTTTCCAAAGCTAGAAGTAAGCCTGATGGTCGACGTGTTTGAACAAACATGGAGAGAGTGAAGTTCTCTCCGTAACTCTTGTCAAGTTTAAAAGCAGCATATCCAGTGGAGTCAGCCTGGCCAAATCTGCCTGCCACATACTCTTTAATATCAAAATAGGGGAGAAGAAACAAAGAAGAAACGTCTTAAATCTCACAAGCAAGAAGGAGCAGAAGATGAAAATAACATACCTACTTTTTTGAGTTCAGGACAGGCTTATTCAATAGTATGTGAATTTGACCTCATTTTCTGAACTTCTGAGTTTCAACCTGAAAATCACTATATTTTTATTGATGTGCCAGAGTAGAAAGTAACCTGTATGCTTATATCATGTCTTTTTTCTACTTGGTGTTATTTCTGAATTTATGGAAGCATTTGTGCATTTTACTTATGTATTATGGGTGACAAGGAGTCGATAGTTGAGGTCCATTTATCACAAAAGAGACGGAGAAGATCTCTGCATAGATAAACTGAAGAACCTCTCCTTCACCTCCCTGAAGAGCTGCGGCTTAGTGATGGAGTATCAGACACTACGTACTTGGAGTAGGTAGGGGAAATTTAGGGGACAAAAGCTCTATCTGCAGCATCCATAAGCACACTGTTAAGACAGTTGTCATCTTTTCTATTTACAGGCATGCTGCAACAAACATGTCATCAAGCCTAATGTCACTTTGTAAAGAGCGGAAATCAAGAATTGGATTAGCAAATCCTCCTTTGAGATGACTATCCCAAATAATGATAAGAGGCAAAGAAGTTAAGTTTGGGAAAGGAAGAGGAACAGTCACTCAATCTGTAGCCTTGGTTGGAGGACGTACAGGCATGGGAAACAGAGAAGTACTGAGTGGGCAAAATTGAGTATTGAACCCTCCCAGCATTTCTGAGGTCAGAGGTAGTAGTAATACACTAATGTTGCAATACCATCAATGTACATCATGTCAAGAAAATTCTTCACATGACTAAAAATGATCCCTGACATTAAAAGCATTTGTGATATATTATGAACAAAACAAACAAAAATTCCTGCCCTCATAAAGCATATATTCGAATTGTGGTGGACATGGACAAGAGAGAGATAAAGAAGCAAACTATATAATACGTCAGATGCCGATAAGACCTTTGGTATAAAATAAGGCAGACAGAGAAAGGGAATAGGGAGAGCAGGGAGTTGGGATGGACAATTTTAAATAGAGTAGAAAATGAGGGACTTGCAGAGGATGTGACATTCGAGCAAAGACCTTAAAAAAGTAGGAATATTATTGCAATAATTCAGGAGAGAAATGATGGGTGATGATGAACAGTGGTAAAGGTGGAGATGGTGAGAAGAGGTCAGAATTTGGTAATATTTTGAAGGTAGAACCAACAGGACTTTCTGGGGGAAGTCCATCTCCAAGATTTTGGCCCAACCAACTAGAAGCAGAATTTCTATTTGCAGAGATGAGAAAGAAAAAGAAAGAAGGCCCAGATTGCAGGGTGGGAACCAGGAGTACATTTTAAACTGAGATTCCTGTTAGATAGCCTGAAGGTCCTGGGTGGTGCAAGTGGTTTGCAATCAACTGCTAACCTCAAAGTTGGTGGTTCAAGCCCACACAGCAGTGCCACGAAATAAAAGCCTGCTGATTTGCTTCTGTAAATATTACAGCCAAGAAAATCCTATGGAGCATTTGTACTCGGTAACACATAGGATCACCATGAGTTGGAATCAACTCAACAGAAACTTTTTTTTTTAAATTTAGATATTCAGGTGGAACTGTCCAGTGGGCAAGTGGATATAGATGTTCAGGGGAGATATTATGGGCTTGCAACAATACTTTTGGATTTATCAGTGTATATGTGGTAGTTAAAGTCAAAAGACTGTATGAAATCACCAAGGAAGTGAATATATAGAGAGAAAAGAAGAGGTCCAAGAACTGACCATCTAACCACTAGGCATTTAGAGGTAAAGGAGATGAAGAAAGGGCACCCAGTGAGATAGGAGGAGAATCAAGAAAGGGTAATGTCCCATAACTTAGTACTGAAAGATTTTTCAGGAGTGGGGAGTGTTCAACTGTGTCATTTGCTGCTGATAGGTCAGGTCAGACCAGGACTGTCAAATGACCATTGAATTTTGCAGTCTAGAGGTCATTGGTGAACTCTACAAGAGCATTGTCTTAAAGATACTGCCATCTTCAAGTTTTTATATCCCAGTCTGAATTAAAAAAAAAAAAAAAAAACTCAATGTATTCAGGCTCGTTTAAATGTTATCTTGTGGTCCAGTTGAAGTTTGGGTGAAGGTAAGACATATGAGTTTAGCTGAACTATAGTGAGACTTCTTAGGCAACCATCTGTGTTGTAAGACCTCCTGCATAAAAGTCTTTATTTTCAGAACTCTGACTTGATTTCCTACAGGAACACTGCATTTTGAATCTGCATTTGGAGACCACCTGCTCCAGGCAACTACAGGTAGCTTTCAAAGTGTACTGATAGATAAAATAACCACTTTGAAGAGGTTAAAATCTCTGAATACATGGCAGCACTTTCATATGAGATAAAATAATAAGAAAACTTGGCTCTTGAAGGTCCTGAGGTTTGGGTATATGCACTGAATCCCTCCGCCTCAGGGGTGTGGGGTCCCTGCTGGTCATTCTAGCATGCCTGAAGCATCACTTTGTGGATCCAGATTAAAAGACAGACAGGACAAAAAAACTGTTTTCTTTTTTTCCCTCAGAAGCTCAACTCTCCAGCAACCCTATTCTTCTTCAGAAATCACAAGCAAGGAGTCAGAGTGTGTGATTTGCTAAATGATGTCAGAAAGACCTGAAGCCACACGTGACTTGGCTGTAGACATGGAAGCGATGATTCTCACATTTGTTATTGACATGTCATGAAGAGGGACAACACCTACAAATGAAAACTAATTTCAACAAGTTTTAATGATTGACGGAATACAAGATAAAATTTTATAAGAAGAAATAAAAGTAACTGAGATTTAAATTTCTTCTCTGGTTTAGGGTGGGAGAAATAGGACTCTGTGGCACCATGAGTGAGAATGACTCAAAGTGAACCAGTTTTGGAATGTGGCTGCCAAAAGGTAAATGTAATCTTAGGCTGGAAAATATAAGAACATTACCTGGAATGAGATAAGTTACAGTCATAAGCTACTCTGTATTGCCAGGCCGCATCTAGGCACATTGTAGGAGAAATACAGATATGTGACTTTATTCCAGAGAAAGAAATCAGCTGATGAAATGTCTGAAAACTATGTCATATGGAAAATATTATGAAAACCTGGAGATGTTTAGCATGTAGAAGTGATGGCATGGATGGTACAAAATACTTTTCTTCAAATGTAAGATTTCAATTTCAAATTTTCTTACATTTGCTTCAGATGTAGAAAAAGATGTAAGATTTTTATTAGTATGGCTTCAAGAGTTAAAATACTGTCAATGAATGAAAGCTGTGGATAATCATATCTAAATCCAATATAAGAAAACACTTGTTGGAAATTTCTGGCAAGATAAAAGAAGTGAGTTCTCCATTCCTGGAGACATTTAAGCAGAGGTTTGGACCACTACACTGGGCAGGCACAACAGTGTAAAAAATTAAGTCATGGAATGAAACCTCTTCTATGCCTGACCCATTGCTGTGGAGTTGATTCCGACTCACAGCGATACTATAGGACAGAGTAAAACTGCCCCATAGAGTTTCCAAGACTGTAAATCTTTACAGAAGCAGCCTGCCACATCTTTCTCCCGCAGAGGGACTGGTGGACTTGAACTACTGACCTTTTGGTTGGGAGTCTAGCACTTAACCACTGTGCTACCAGGGCTGCTTCTTCTATATCTAAGAGACTGTAATTCTAAGGGTATGAGACTCACAAATTCTAGGTGTATGGCTAAAAACATGTAAATTGCCTCTGCAAATCGAACACTCTTCAAAGGGAGAATGTGCTTATTAAGAAGAGAAGTGTGAAAGCTCCATGTTCTTATACACAGTCAACCTAAGCTATGCTGAGATGACTTTGCAGAAAGTTCTGGGAACTAAGTATTGAGACATTGGGAGTCCCTAAGACTTTCATGTTTTGTCAGCCAACTAAATCCTCTCTCCAGTCGGCTTGTTCATTGCAAGGACCAAGGCTGGGAAACACTGAGCCAAAATTATGAATTGGGTAAATTATGAATTTGGTGCTTTTGAGTACTCGCCTCCCTTCTGTATGTGTAACATGTACAAACACTCCATGTTTTCATTAAGGCTTATAATTATCTTTTGTGATGGGTATAACTCCCCAGTTAATACTCTTCATAGATGGTAGCAAATACAGAATATTTTAATTTGATGACTAAGAGGTGATATGGAAAATATCATTTTCCTTAAACTTACACCAAGAATTTTCAGGAAGAAAAGATTTTATAGAAATTCCTCCCTATAAAGTAATCATTTGAAGCCAAGCATTTTTCATGAGGCTTAAAGAGTTGCAAATAGTGTGAGGAATAAGGAAACTGAAGGGTAGGGGGGAAGGGTGAGCAATTCAGGAACTTGGTTGAAAAAGTTCATGATTTTCCAAGTTGGAAAAAATAAACCAAAGAAAACCAGAGCCCACTGGACTAGCATCCCTTGAATCTATTTGCTAGGACAGTTAGCATCACCGTGGTCAGTTTTAACCGCATGGGTCACTGCATCTGGAAGCCAGTCAAAGTGAGTCAGCATCTGTTTGTTATTTTGTATATGTAGTAAAAATATTGCCTTGAGTCAATTAAATTTTTCTTCAAAAAGTGAACATTGCCTCAGCATAATTTCCCTTCTTCTCCTTTAAAAAAATCATGAAACAACTCGACATTCCATTTAAAATATTACATAGAGTCTGTAGATGCCATATTTCATTGTCAAACAGGTCCATGACTTGTAATGAATATTGTGGTCGGGGGGAAACTCATGAATAGTTTCTAATAATTCTTACCAATTCATACATGGGAGTAAGGGTTTAGGCGAAGACTGGTTTTAATTTGACTTCATATAAAGCAGAGAAGACTATTTACCAGATGTCCTACTTCTAGTTACTCTTAAATCTGGGAGTGACTTACAGCTGAACTTCAAAGCAGTCTGTTGCATTTACCTCTCAGACTTTGTCAATACATGATAATAATAAAAAGAGACAGGTACGTATTGATCACTATCAACAGCAATCTCTGGAATGATGTTGGAAGTAACAGATTTTGAAATAGATTTCAAGCTGTAGTTTGCTAGGGAAATTCGATCAATTACTTTATAGCATCTATCAAGTTTCACTGTTGTGACTTTCCATGTTTTGCTTTTCTTTCTCTCTCTCATTTCTTTCCTTTTAAGATACCTACCTAGAATATGTTTTTCCAATGCAACCCTGCAAAATATACTTTTGAATAACGTTGGTTTGTAAAAGTGCTTAACTTAAACATAATTTTGGAGCAAGTTCAAATGGCATAGAAAGGAGAGCAAGGAAACGATTATTAACTGAGAACCTAATATGCCTAAGACATTTTGCTTGGACTTGGTATTGACTAGTTTCGTGTCTAAAGTCTTTTACTCTAAAAGATTATTTCACTTTCAAACAAGATTTACAATAATCTGGTGCCCAGCAAATGGTAAAATTGTAACAGCTTTGTATAAACTCCAAGATGAAAATCACACTTGCATAGCTGCTATCAGCTTATTTTTTTACTTCTTTGCAGGATTGAACCCTGATGTCTCACAGATCCACTCGAAATTAATTAATGCATACTGCTACCCTATTCTTTTTTCTCAGCAGTGGGAAGCCAGCAGCAGAGGTCCTGAGGGGTCATTGTGTTTCATAATGGGTGAAGCCGACTGGCTGTTTTTGTGGTTGCTGCTCTGCTCTGAGCCATAGCGCTCCTGGGCGCCCAGCCTTCTCTCACCTCTCAGACAGTTGAGGCCTCTGTAGGGCCTGTGGCAATCACACTGGTAACCAAGCCACAGGTTGATGCAGCGTCCTCTATTTTGACAAGGTTGGTTTTCACACCAATCCTTTCTCATGCAGCCTGGCTTGACGTTTAATGACGAGCTGGATGAAATGTTCTCCGAAGTAATGTGATTCAAATCAATCTTAATGTCTTGGAGACAGCCTACAAATGAAGGTGCGGATAGTATAGGATAAGTGTTAATCAGAACATCACCATTGCTGGTCTTTTCTATTGGTAAACCACCCAAAAACGAGTTTCGAAAAGTGCATATTGGTTGATCCCTTCCAAATGGAGAAGGCGCTTTAGCGATGCATTTCTCTGCACAGGAGTTGTCCAGTAAGGTGAGGGTCACAGCCTCTGCAAACGTTACCTCCACTGAATGCCACTCTCCATCGCTGGTGTTGTGGGAAATGTACAGAAGCACCTTGGACTGATTATTGACTTGAATTGATAAGTGAATGTGACCATTTAGCAACTCAAGCTTTACAAACGTGTCCCTGTCACCTCGGAAAAGTAGAAGTGCTATTAGCTGAACAGTCTGAAACCTAAGGGCTGTGTTACAAACTGAGTTCTTGGTTGTTACTGAGTCACCTGTGACCCACAGGAAGCCATTGCCCTCAAAGGAAAGTGTGGTGCTAATTTCACATAGTGACCCCGTGTAGCCGGATGGACAAAGGCAGCTGAATCCATGCTGGCCATTTTGGAAGTGAGGGATGCATAGTCCATTACTGAGGCATTGGTGATGGGAACAGCCCAGGAGAATATCAGAACAGTCCTCTCCTCCAAAAAATGTTCCGGAATAGTTACCAAATGGGCAATGACAAGTATAATTGCCAGGCAAGTTTTCACAAGTACCACCGTTTTGGCAAGGGTTTGAAGAGCATTCATTGATGTCCTCTTCACAGTGGATTCCTGTAACATAATAAAGAATTGACTGGAATTACATATATTCAGATCAGAAATAGAAGTTTTACATAATTTTCATGTGTGATTTTGTGGAAGTGAAGACGTAGATTATATTTAGGACTGTAATAAGGGTACATGTAAATAGTCATTGAGGGGCTTTAAAATAGATTATATCATCTTGCATATGTGTTTTGAGAAGAAGTAAGGTCATGGCAGATCTTGGATTCTTCCTCTAGAAGCAGATAATTCGTCAAATACAGTGGTTGGCCCAGGTTAGCTATCATGTGAGATGCACATAAAGCACTGATGTTATAAAAATGATTAAGGAAAAGGATTGCTCTTGGCAGTGATGTTAGGTACAAATTATTATTTGGGAAATCCTTTCTCAGATATTGTTTATCCTGTTCTAGGCTGTTAATTTCATTCTATTCCACTTGGAAACAGTGATTTTGCCTTCTATCTTATTTGTAGCTCCCCATAACCCCTAAAACCAAAGTTTGCCAGATGTATAGACAGTCTAGACTACCATGGAGGGCTTCAGAGGTCAGTAGAAGGAAAGTCCCATTTCCTCAACCCCATGAACTGTGAACTGTATTCCATAACAGCTCCTGCTTATATTTTTTAATTCCCTTTTTTTGCTTACTCTTTTTCCTAATTTCAAGTAAAAGGAAGATATCTAATTAGAAAATTATGATGATTCATTTAATCAAATCCACAAGAAGAAACAGAACACTTTTTAAGAGTGATGGTCATTGTTTTTCCAATGATGTTCAAATGAACAAACAGTGATAACAAAACTTTACACATGGTTTGCACTTTATGGTTTTACCAACTTCATCTACATTATTTATTTATGCTCATCATATCTACTGAGATTTTCAAGGCAGATAATCTTAGACCTCTTTCACAGAAGACACTAAGGCTTAAGAAGACTGACCTTTCAAATCGAAAGCACTTATACAATGTGACCCTAAAATAACACTCCAGTCTCCCTCTCCATTTATGTAGTGGACGCTCTAATCAGAAATTTCTATCTAGTTTCTGTAACGCATCAAGTTCACTCATGACTCTATGCCTTTGTCTACGTGAAACGGTAAGACAACAAACAAGCAACCCAGGCTGCTGTGGCCACATGACGTGTTTAGTAACAATATACCGAAAGTTTCATACAATTCAAGACTGTGTCCAACTGATTATCTTTGCTAAACACGGTATAATAGAAAAACAGCTTTTGCAACAAAAAAGAGAAGAGTATAAAACTTTTCTAGCAGCCTCAGTACAGCAGATCAACCGATCTCTGATCCAACAGACAGAAAGTACGGCAACGCACAAGCAGAGAGATGTCAATTCCAATGAAAAGTGACTTGGAAAGGCATCCAGAAGCATGAGTTGGATGTAGACAATATCCTTAGAAATACAGCTTTTCTATTATGTTTATTTAAACTTTCAATTGAAGCAAATACAGACTGACAAACTAAAGATAAAGTAAAATAAGGTCCTACTAGAAGAAAACAGCAATTCTACCACAGTCCGGGAAGGAATGATAACGAGAGGCACAAAGAAGGTCAACAATAAACAGGTGATGAAAGCAGAAGAAAAAATCAGACCCAATAAAAACAAACATAATCCCTTTAACTCACACTGGGTTAAGGGTTTCAATAACTTCTTGGTGGGGAGGGGTGGCCACAAACTTTGCTTGTTATACATACTAGTGGAGTCTTATTTTATACAGGGATTAGAGTTTGAAATTAATTCATAAATCTAAAATAGCATATGGTCGAATTTACCCTTGAAAATTCCTTAAGAAGCTTTTACTTTGGGGACTGGCATAGCATCTCTAATATGAAAGACTAATATATCCATATTTTTTAAACCAGCCTGAGAGGAAATAGTTCTCCAATGTATTTTCTTCCATGTAGAGAGAGATTTACCACTTTTAACACTCCTGACTCTCTCGCTGTCCCCTCCCTTACTCCTCTGCAGATAATGAGAAGTGACCTAATCTGATTGATGAGTCTGGATGAAGAAAGCAAAGGGTTGAGGCACAGCTCCTTCTTCTCCCCTTCTCATCCAGCAAACTGAAATTGCTGTTGTTGTTAGATGCTATTGAGTTGATATTGACTCATAGTGACCCCATGTGACAGAGTAGAACTGTCCCATAGGGTTTTCTAGGCTATAATCTTTACAGGAAAGGATCTCCAGGTCTTTGTCCACAGAGTCACTGGGTAGGTTCAATCTGCCAACCTTTTGGTTAGCAGCTGAGTGCTTAACTGTTGTGTGACCAGGCCTCCTTGGAAAACTCAAATAATACCTTTTACTTATGAAGACTTTCTCTGACCCATCCTCCTTTGCTGAAATAGTTAAAGAACCACTTTGTTGTCCGTGCTGCCATACCCTTTCTGCATATCTGTGGAGTTTTAAATGTTTTGTAAAGGCTCTTTGAGTGAATCTACTCTGGGATATTTGCTAAGGCACCGAATTTGAGTCCGGGAGTCTGGTGCCAAACTCCTGGTCTAACATTTATTAGTTGTATCACTTTGGACGAGTCTTCACTTCCTTGAGTACCAGTCTCTTCATGTGTAAAACAAGGGTGATACCATCTGCTTTGCTCACTGTGTTATTGTATTTGGAAGTGCCTAGAACAGTGCCTGGAACAAAGTAGATACTTGAAAAATGTGACTTGTTTGAACTCATCTCTCATTCCCTGATGCCTGCTACAGTGCTGGATACCCAGTAACCATCCAAAGTGCTTTTGTTCCATGAAGAATGAAGACATGAATAGATTAATGATTTTTGCTTTATCCACGACCACAAGACCATTAATAGGGTGCAAATCCAGAATCCAGGACTTTTAACTTCTTGCTCAATTGTTGTCCAGTATACACTGCATTTCTAATTTCTTAATAAACTGTAATGGCTTGTTGTATGTGTGATATTCTATGGATATTAGCAGTTATTAGCTGGAGAAATTACTAGAACTAAAGTGGAAGAAAATAGGCAGTTATAATAACCCAGCTGAAATTGTTAAGTTGTATTTTTCAGACAGTAGAAATAACTAGGTAAAGATACATTTCTAAATTGTTTTCTCACAAATGATATACTTCATTTCAAGATTTCACCATCTTTCTTTTGGCAAACTCCAAATTGTGTGAAACTGGTGCCTTTTCTTAGGTAGAGTGTAGAACGGGGCGTGCTTGCATCCTGAAGACAGAGACTTTGCCTTGTTGTATATGACTTGAGGTGGGGATTCAATTTCATCTTCTACATGCAATAGTTACCACACCATTTATTGAAGAGTATTACTTTCTCTGCTATTCTTTAACGTTACTTCTGTTATACATCAAGTCAATCTTTTTCTGGGCTGTCTATTTTGTCTCATTTGAAAATTAATTTACACCAACCCCAATACCACACTGTCTTAATTATTATACATATGTAATTCTTATTATCTGGTAGGAAATGTGTCTTCCTTCTGCTGTTGTTCTTTTTTTTTTCACTAGTGTTTTGGCCATTTTGAAGATTTTGTTCTTCCAAATACATCTTAGAATCAGTTTGTCAGGGTCCATGAAAATAACTTGATGACATTTTAATTAGAATTGCATTGCATCAATAGATTATTTGGAGAAACTAAGCTTTGTAATGTGGAATCTTCCTTCTAACGAACTTCATATAGTGATTCATTTTAAAAGAATTGGATCATCGTTTTAAAAGAATTTTTAAATGTTTAAAAGAGATTTTTATAAATTGAAATGATCATTTCTCTCAGTTTGGCAGAACTCTTCTGTAAATCCAGCTGGGTCTGCTTTTTCTTTTTAAGACATTTAATTGCTGATTTAATGCCTTTAATTAATGTCTATAGAACTGTTCAGATGATCTTTTTCTCTATCAGTATTCTAGGTTATATATTTCTAGGAATTTTTCCATTTCATCTAAGTTCTCAAATTCATTGCCATAAGCTTGTTTGTAATATTTCCTTATAACATTTTAAATCTGCTGTAGATCTGTATTTATGACTGCTTTTTTATTCCTAATATTGTTTATTTTTGCTATGTTTTCCCTTGATCCAAAGATTTTTTTCAATTTTTGCCAGCTTTGAAAAAAATAAAAAATCTTTACCTTCATTGAGCCTCTTCGTTCTGTATTGTTTTATAATTCCATGATTCTTGCTCCAGTACTTTTACTGCATCAATACTTCCTACTACTTTCTTTAAATTTATATGTTGTTCTTTTACTAATTTTTAAGTTGGATGGTTAACCCATTTCTTCATTTTTAACACAAGTATTTAAATGATCTTTGTATAAATTTTGCTCTATCCTGTAAGTGTTCATTTGTAGCATATTTATTATTGCTCAGTTCTAAATATTTTAAAATTCTCATTACGATTTCTTTTTCACCAATGATTTATTTATAAGTGTATTAATATTTTTCAAATATATTAGACTTATTTGCTTTTGATTTATAACAATTACATGGTAGATGGAGAATGAGGTCTGTGTGAAGCAGATTCTTTGAAATTTTTTAAGACTTTTTGTGTCCTTGAATGTACTCAATTTTTATAAATATCCCATGTATGTTTGAGAGGATTGTGGGTTCTCTAATTGTTGGGAGAATGGTTCTATATGTTATATAGTTGTATGTATTTACTAATATTTTTCTTGCTTGAGCTAACAATGATTGGAAGAGGCACATTGAAATCTCACTACAAAGGTGGGTTTGGTTATTTCTCTTTGTAAGTCTATCATTTTTGGTTTATGTATACTGTGGATACTTTAGGAGGCCTGGTAGCACAGTGGTTAAGCATTTGGTTGCTAACCAAAAGATCGTCACTTCAGATCCCTCAGCCACTCTTTGGAAACACTATGGGGCAGTTCCACTCTGTCTTATAAGGTCACTATAGGTCATAATCAACTCGATGACAATGGGTTTTTTTTTAAACAGGTGGCTACTTTATTTCATGCATATCAATTTAGAATTATAACATCCCCCTCTTAAGTTGAATATTTAC